CATCCAGACCAAATTAATGGTCCTTAGTGGTCCTTAGTGCCTTTCCTAAACCCTGCCCTGGTTAATTGTTTTCCATGGCTCTTCTCATTGTAGACAATCCTTCACCCTCTGTGTGTGAAATATCCCCCCTCAGCCAAGTACAGGAGGGGCTTCCTGACTGAGCTCATCAAAAAGGTACCTCTTGCTTTTCAGCTCATTTTCCATTTGTTTTTCTCTTTTTTTTTTTTCCTTGAGAATACCCCATGTAATAACCAACCACAGCATTCAGTGTAAATTCACTGTACTAAAATGGGGCTTAGAGTGCAGTTGTTTTCTCTTTCATGACATTGTGATGCTCAGAGCTGCCCTGTTCTCCTCCCTCACAGCTGGAATCCACAGCTGCTGAACCCCTGGATGAACTCTATGAGGCACTGGCAGATGTTCTGAAAGAAGCAGAAGAATCTACTCACTGTTACAAAAACTACTTACTGGTAAAAACTGACTCTGCACTGTTCTAAACCACATTTACTCACCCAAATGAAGCAATAATTGGCTTGAAAAACACCCACCTTTATTGTAAATGCAGGGTGCCCTGACAAAGGCAGGAATGATGCATCTGACTCCATGTTCTCAGGATAATTTAGTACTTTATTATATTAAGGAATACTATACTAAACTATACTAAAGAATACAGAAAGGATACTTGCAGAATGCTAAAAAGATAATAATGAAAACTCCTGACTCTTTCCAGAGTCCTGACACAGCTTGGCACTGATTGGCCAAAGAGTGAAAACAACTCACAGCAGAATCCAATGAAACAATGGGTAAACAATCTCCAAACACATTCTAGATGAGCACAGCACAGGAGAAGCAAATGAGATAAGAATTGTTTTCCTTTGCTCTGAGGCCTCTCTTGCTGCCTTTCAGCTTCCCAGGAGAAAAACCCTGGGTGAAGGAATTTTTTCAGGGAATATGAATGCCACACACACCCTGAAGCCTGGAGTGCTTCCTGCCTTTTTCCAGGTGCTCCTGTTGATTGTAAGCTCTCAGTCATGGCCTGTGCTGATGCATCTTTGCCTCCCTGTGTCCTGCAGCCCTCGGGGGACTGTGTGAGCCTCTGCGAGAGCACAGCGCTGATCTCCGGGGGCACCACGGGGCTCCTCACCTGGGAGGCTGCCCTGCACCTGGCCCAGTGGGCCCTGCACAACCCCAGCCTCTTCAGGGGCAGGTATGGCAGCACCACAGAGCTCTGATCCTGCACGGTCACACAGGGCTCTGGCTGGGAAGGGACATCATTCCATGGCAGGGACACCTCCCACTGTCCCAGGTGCTCCCAGCCCTGCCCAGCCTGGCCTTNGGTCTCTCACTTTTATAAATTCTAGTCTATTTACATATTGGAGTTCATTATCCAATGACAGCTTTAGGTTATGCAGTCCCATCCTGCTTATTTTTCTCCATTGTTTGTGCTCTTGGGCCTGAGATTTGGATCATTTGTCCTTGATCCCCAGCTAGAAGAGAAATTGTTTTGTGTCCCTACTCTGTGATGGGAGCTCACCATTCCGTAATACAAAGTTCAGAAGTGCACACTAAAGCAGTGCAGAATCTGAAAAACAGAAAAGTTAAACCTGAGGCACCATCCCCACGCCATGGACTGGCACAGTGAGATCCCAGCAGCCGTGGATCGATGTGTGTCAGCCCAGACACGGCCCTGGATGTCTCTGAGAGCTCCCCTGGCCCTGATCCCGAGCTGCTGTGCCATGGGACACCCCAGAGCACGGGAGGTGGCCTGGAGCAGGCCCAGCTGGCCAAGGCCAGGGCACACACCCAGGGCTGGCAGGGACTGGAGGATGCACAGGGAGAATTCCCCTTGTGTTCTGGCACTGCTGGAACCAGCAGCTCCTGCCTGAGGCACCTCGGGTGAGAGAGAGGAAGGGTTTGCATGTTCCACATGCCAGGACCTCCCACAGGATTTCCCAGGACACCAAGCCTGACTGAGCCTTCCCTCAGTTCTCACCTGTGCTGTGACCTCCCCTTCACACTGGCAAGTGGCTTTTCCTGGTGCCTGCCCTCAACCCTGCCAGCTGCAGGTCCTGGTGGCTGTCAGAGGGCAGGACAGAAAGCCTTAGATCCATCATTGTTTTGGGAGGAGATCTTCCTCCTTGAGCTGTTGCAATGGAAGGTGCAAGGCAGGTGCAAAGAAGTGTTGTAGTAGCTTCTTTGAGTTAGGTTTAATAAGCTTTGGAGGGCTCTAACACACCTTAGATAGCTCAGCTATCTTTGGAGGCATAAAAATTGGTAGGATGGCTTTTGTTGCAGTGTTGGAAACAAAAAGGTTTAATAAAAGGCAAAATAACAAACAGAAAAACGGAGCTAGGTGTCAGACATTCTTGTTCTTGGTAAAACACTTTACAAAGCCATTCGTTTCTTTGTTTCCCTCTTTTTTTTAGTTAATTGCTTAGGTGGGACCTTTTGGCTTCTGTTTAATTAGCTATCTTTAAGTTTGAGGTGAAGTCCCCTGGGCCTATGAGGTGACTTTTTTCAGCTAATCGAGGAGAGAAACTTCTGGGCTTCTTTCTTTTTTGAGGGGACAAAGGATAGTTTTGTCACTCCGTCAACAGGGGCACACTCTTACACCTCACCCTTTCTATACATCTAAAGAGGAGAAAGGAACATGAACTGAAAAAGTTTTGTTGACAATTTGTAGTTCTGCCAATAATTTTAAAATTTGGTTCTAATCTTCTATCTTAACAAGGAAATGCAACCCTTGACTAAATATATAATGTATATGTTGTATAAGGTGGGCAGGCCCTGGCACAGGGTGCCCAGAGCAGCTGGGGCTGCCCCTGGATCCCTGGAAATGTCCAAACCAGGCTGGGCAGAGCTTGGAGCACCCTGGGACAGTGAAAGGTGTCCCTGCCCATGGCAGGGGGTGAATCAAGATGAGATTTAAAGTTCCTTCAACCCAAACCACTCCATGACTCTGTGATTATCCATGTGTGCATCTATCACTGGTCAGTGATATGTTTTTAGTGGTAGGGATCTCAAAGTTTTGTAGAAGATGCAGTGCTGTGTGTAATATCTGTGTGTGCAACACTGAGGGCACCTGAGGGAACAATATGGTACAAACCCAGATTTTGCTTTCATTGTCAAGAGAATGCATCTCCCACATTTGTGGTGTGAGGGAAATTGGACTCGGTGACTTTGAGAGGTGCAGGGATGGCCCAGGGGAGATGCAGCCTGTGTTTGTGGAGGCACATGGTCCTTGCACAGGTCCAGCAGCTGTCAGCAGTGCCTGGGCTCACACCAGGCTCGTGGCTCCTCCTGCTTGCCCAGCACCACGTGCTGTCACCTGCAGTGGCACAGCTCAGGGGATGGTGGAGAATGGTCCTGCTGCAGCTGTGCCAGCACATGTTCAAGGTGCTCTGTTGTCGTTTTTGGTGTGGTTATGGCACTCAAACCTCTCCCTGCTTGAGGGAAAGGCATCCATCCCCTCTGTTAAGGGGTTATCTGTTCCAAAACCCCCAGGTGATCCCAGGGCCCCACACCTGTCCCTGGGACTGAGTTTGTGCCTAGAATGGCCCCCTGGGCCCCATATCACAGGGACATGGGGGACTGGGGTCTCTTGGGTTGCTGGAGCTGTGGGAGTGTTCACAGCACTCTGGGGGTACGAGGAATTCCCTGCATTCCTGGGGGAGTTCTCACTAGAGGAAGAGTTGTCAACATCTCCTTAGGGGAACTGGAGAGTCCTGGGAGTATCAGGGCATTCTTGGGGGAATCTGGGAGCTCTGAGAGTATCAGGCATCCATCCCCTGGGTGTGTGGAGTCCCCAGGAGATGTCACAGTCCCCAGTTCCTCACAAGCATTGCACAAGGGCATGGGGAGCCAGGGATTTGGGGTACCCCAGCTGTCCTCAGTGGGGTGGGGGTGTCAGGGGACCCCATTGAGGGAAGGCCACCCCTGGTCACTGGTCAGAGGGTGGGCTCACTGTGGCCCTTGGGCACACCTTGGGGCGGTGGGAAGGACAGGTCTCATCCTCCTGCAGCCCCTCTACCAACCCCAGCACCCCTCAACACCCAGGCTCCCCCTGACTCTCTGCTTTCCCAGTGCTCCCCTGCAGCCCCTGCTCACTCTCCCACCCCCCCAGTGACCCCCAACCTTCCCCAGGGATGAGCCACAGGATCCTGCTGCCCCCCAGTTCATTCCTCAGTGCTGTCCCACCCTGAGCCACTGTGTGCACAAGGAAAGGAAGGGATGTGGCTTTGGCAGGGCCTGGGGTGCATGGCCTCCCTCATCTCCTTTGAGTGCTGGGGTTTTTCCTGTGTTTGCCACGGCCCTGATGGTTCCAGTCCCTACCAGAGCCAATGTGAGGGGTCTGGCTGTCCCCAGACACAGTACAGGGGCTCTGGCCTGTCCCCTGCTCCTCACACACACGGGCTGGGCTGCTCTCTCATGGCTCCATGAGGAGATTGTGTCACAGCTGCCCAGGTTACCCTTTGGATTGTGGTTTAACCATTCCTATCCCCAAAGTACCTACTAAAGCCTTCAAATCATAGAATGTGTCAGGCTGCGAGGGACCCACAGGGATCACTGCTCTTTAAGAGACCAGTCCTCCCAGTGCAAAGTGCCCCAGGGAGGTGGGGGCTGGAAGACTCTTCCTCAGCAAGGGCTGAAGGCAGAGTGGCAAAAAGGGTTTTGGCAGCAGGGCCTCTTCTGCCACCCCCCTAGGCAGAGAGGTGGGATGACATAGGTGGAATGTCTGCAAGTCTGCCAGAAGGGGTTGGTAGAGTGGGAGAGGGGAACCAAATGTGTGTGAGGGGCTCAGCTCTGCTCCAAAATCCCTGAGATCCAGAGTGTCTCTCTTGTCACCCCAAGCCCACACTGTCCTTCTGCCAGGTCTCACTGAGAGCTGAGCAAGGGCCTTGGAGCTCCCCAGGATCCAGCAATAATGAACTCCCACAGGAGGAGCACCTGGAATGACACGGATTAATGGGACAGTAAATGACAGAGGAGCTGAGACAATGCACGATGAACACTCTTTTATGGAACAGACACAGCAGGTGCAGCTCTGGCCATGTTCCCCCACAGAGGAAACCAGCTCCTGGCCATCAGTGGTGCCTGTGGTGCTCATCTTTCAGAGGTGGCATGATCTCTCCAGTCTCTAAAATCCTGTCCCCCTGTGGGAAGAGAGCATGGTGAGCATTCCCTGTGGCACCCAGACTCCTCCTGCACAGCCCAGTCCCCAGTTCCAGGCAAGAATCTCACCACAACTCAGGACACCCTCATTCCCCCAACATCCCCACAATGCTGGAGTAACATCACAGCAAAATTACCTGGAGCCTCTTCTTGCTTTACCCCTTGTTTTCACTACAGCAGCCACACATTTTGAGCTGCTTTGTTTTAAAAATTACTTCTAGCACTGCATAATCCCCCTCCAGCAGTGATCAATGAGTCCAACCCCATGGCCCAGAGACAATGGAGAGCCATGGAATCCCTCAAAAATCAACCTGCTGCCCCAGTGCCACCTCTTCCAGCTCCAGGCACAGACTTGTCCTGCTGAGTGACCTAACTCAACTGAAAAATGAGGCTGAAGACAGAGGCCAACAGCTTGACCTTCAGCATGTTGTTTTGTGGCTGTTTGGGATGTAATAATTTATAATTTTATTTTAGACACAGCTGATTAGGAGGTATTATGCCAAAAATGGGCAGCAGTCAAAGGGCAGAGCTGATCTTCTGTAGGAATAGTTGCCCTCTGACTTATTACACCCATCAGTAACAGCTCAGAGCAGCCTGGAAACAGAAAAGCCCAAACATTGTGACACTCTCTGCTTCATGGAACTTGTCCCAAGCCGAGGTGACACAACTCTTTGGGGACACCTGAGTGTGAGGGACCTTCAGGGACAAGTGGGACCAAGCCAGAACCAACATTCTCAGGGCTTAACAAGGAGAAGCAGAGCCACTCCTGTGTGATTCCATGTTGTTAATAACCACTGGGGCTTTGAACACCCATTCCCAAAGGGAATGTTTGTATTTCCCACCCAGGAGGGGCAGCATCAGCCAGGTGCTGCAGAGAGGTGACACTGAAACAGGGACTGAGTCAAGATTAAAGTGCCCAAACCCACTGTCCCTGTGCTGCCCACGGGACCCAGCACATCCCTTGGGAAAGCTGTCACTGGACATTTCCCAGATGCTCCTGGAAACCCTGTGTGTGTGACAGAAGATAAGACAGGCCATGAGAGACTTACTGGGAATATCCGTGGGTTGGCCACAACCACCCCGTGCGGCGATTTCTGGAACAGGGGGAGAACACAGGGAAGGGCAGAGAGAACAGTGTTACTTAAGAAAGCACAAAGAATGTTCAAAATGGGCACCAGGACCCTTCCAGGACACAAACTGTGCTAAGCACAGGTCTTGTTAAACCTTCCACTACTTAGAGAAACACCTGAGGCTGCAGCAGTCACAGCTGCCAGGGAGGGCAGGGCTGCCCCTTTCCCTCCCCACACCAACTGCTGCCCTGGTTTTTCCCAGGGCTGTTCCTGCAGGACAGGAACAATTCAGTCACAGCTTTTCTGCTCAGATCACAGGAGAAGCTGGGCACTGCCATAAATCATGGAATGACTTTGGTCGGAAGGGGCCTTAACCCTTCCACTATCCCAA